CCCTGGTATTAGACCTACTTTTGCCATCGTAAATAAACTTTTCCAATTTTTATACACTATACCATTATCAAGGCAAAGTTTGTAATTTTATTCTCCTCCGTCCAGTACATCGATCAGTGTTCAAAGACTTGGTACGAATTTGGCTAAGAAATATTGACTTTTATTGGAAAGCTAAGTTCATAGGTAACAAAATGCGCTATTTTCATCACAGGGAGTGATCGTGAAATCTAATAAAATACCCTCTTTTGTACAAATGCCATAATAAAAATGATTCATACCAAAAATCTTGTAGCTACTTATTCCCAAAATAACTCCAAAATAAAGAGCTCATTAAGGGCAATGACTGCACATAGACTTAGGGCACACAGTGTAATGCAAGCAACTGCACAAACATATAATTTGATATTGTCATGAGATCTTTCTAAGCACCAACAAGTGCGTGAATATTGAATTTCCTAGAGATTAATCTGGTAAGACGCCCTAACTGCGGTGGCACCGCACTCGCACATTCTTCAGCTTGACGCGCGTGCATGTGGCAAACCACTATACCCTATTGGTCGAAGAGGCATGTAACGTGCCCGTACCACTTGTCCACGAGCGTTGCACCACCGCAGTAATGGCTTCTACTTCCATTTGAAGCAAGATATGGGACGGAGCGAACCCCCCCCGCCTTTGTGTTGGTCATTGTTTGATCGGAATCTCAGGAAATCTTTACAGATTTCTAGGGAGGATGTGTTAGGTAACAATAGTATAGAGTAAGGGGGAGGGATACCCCTCCGTCCCATATCTTGCCTGGGATATCTAATTCAGGTGGTCGGACTACACTGTACCTAAGTACACAAAGTTTTAAGGTTGTAGATTACAAGTGACAAATCGCAGCGGCGATCAAAGGGTACAACAGAGTTTCGCGGTCGTGGAACAGATGGTAGGTAACAAGCTTTTGGCGGCGCTCTGGCTATGACATGCCAGGCATGCAAGAAAGCGGGAATTGGCCAGATGTTCCAGCCCGTGCAGTTCAAACTCCTTCTGTGTCCTTCCTCTATGCTACAACAGATGCCACTACATTTTTTCTTTTTATGTGACTTTCAAGCAGCCTTCAATTCAGTGCTAGAATATCAAAGTTGTGCGGCATCAAACAGAGTGAGTTTCAATAAAATGAAACCCTTTTCGCGGAAATAATTTTTTTTCAAATCATTGATCCGTGAATTTTCTAAAACAGACAAAAGCTACTGTGGCGAGGCATCCAGTTGTACCCGTGATAACAGTAATGTCGCCTCCTTGTCAGAAGGAAATAACGTAGTTAGGCAATATTATCAGTATCCAAATGCAACATTCCAGTTTATTTAGACCTGCGTGTAGCCGGGCTAGCACACAAATCACATGGTTCTGCGTCCTTCCTCTTTGCTCCTATCGACTGTTTTGAATAGTCCACTGAATAAACCTGTACATTATCGCGTTTGGTGGACACACTAGTAGGAGGCTGTCCTTTGATATATCATTTCAATTTGGGTGCGGATCAAGGGGGGGGGCGTCTAACCCCACCCCACTCTAACAACAAAAAACAAGGGTAAAAATTCAGAAAACAATAACAATAAAGGAATTAAGTGTCCAAAGAAAAAGTATTCGACATACTGCGTAAGTACCGATGCATACTCCTCACCGTTTTTCAGCTGAAGTTGCAGTAAACACCGAACTTTTAGGCTGAGTTCGGGCGGCTTGTTCTCATATGTTCACGAACAGCTCAATTTTTTTGTTTATGGATTGACCGCTCGAACGCTGGGAACGTACAACCAGTTATCGTTACTAGTTGTTTGTAACAAGCAACATACAACATGGCGGCGTCCTTGTGTATTCTTCGAGAGTTAATGTTTGGCTAACTTTTTTTTCTATTAAAACATAATTTCTGTTATGGAAAACGTTGATTTTGCAAAACTTTCTATTGTCTCCAGCTTTGTAAAGCCATCTCGATAGTTTTATGGCTTTTCATAAATCAAATCTCACGATTTTCCTGTGCGTTCGTGTAAAACCCTGACGAGAAGGCAGTGTGAACCTGTTCAAAGAACAGTGTTCTTGTGTCGTGTTCCCGCCGTTCGAGCTCGAGAACACGAAACCCAGGTCAAGAACAAACCGCGCGAACTCGACCAAAGTGTAAAGCTGCAATGTGTTTTTCTTAGACATGAATTTTTCTTCAACTTTGCATTCCGCTTAAATGTATTAAATTCCTTTTACTTTCGTATTTGGTTAAATCAACTGAAAAGTGCACTTTTTAATAAACAGTTTTCATTATCAATACTTTGGGTACAAAAACTGAGGGCGCTGTTGCTATGAAGTCATCTGGGGAGACCTAGGCTTTTCTGTCTAAGCTGTGAACCCAGAATTTGCTTGCTGAAAACATTTCTGAGAGAGGGAGTCAGGTTGACGTAGTGTTTCTTTCCTCCTCTTCCACCGTCTCCGTCCACATATGGATTTTGTTTTCAGTCCCTACCTGAGTCTCTGAGTTTTCCCCAAATTCATCCAGGGTTTTCCATCCCATGTTTAAAACCGAACATTTCGTCATTGTCTTCTTCATTCATTATCATACGGCAGTTGGCGCTGAGTGCGCTGTTGGACGAACAGAAAAAAAATGTATCTGCAAAGAAGATGAGTTGAGTCCAGCAAAATCTACAAGGAAGGTCTTGGAACCAAGATTACAAGTCTCGACTACTAAACCTTTGCATGTCTTGCGCAATGTCATAATATTCAGCTGATCTTTTTCATATTATATCTAATCAAGAGTCTTTTCATATATCTAATCAAGAGTCTTTTTGAGTTTCGTCCTGCAAAACATCGTGGCGATCACTCTGGGTTTGGACGTCTCGTGTCAAAAAAACCTTGACCATCCGTTCGTGAGACGGATCCAGAGAGCATTCAACCCAACTTTGTTCACACTGATCCCGAGTAAGTTTTTAATTATTTCTAATAACTTTTGAACCCTTTTGTATTTTGTGACAAAAACGTGGGACAAAGTGACAAAATGCAAAACCGAAACACAAAACCAATATTCTGATATAACCAATATTCTGGGCGGTAAGATTCCTATGTACTTACTTTACAGTAAGATATTTCAAGATAATTCGACAGTCCTGTTTTTGAGATCTTACAAATCCTATAGGCCTACCCTGCCATTCAAATTAAAGCTGACGGGCGTTAAAGTACTCAGACTACTGATGTGCTGAGCACTAGGGCCCATACAAAAACCGGCATTATTTTTGGTAAACAATATTAATGGGTCGATTTCTACGCTCAAGTTCATTAATATTTTGCCATCCCCATGGGCTTTTGTGATCATGCAGATATTTTTATAAATCACTAAATTGGGACTTCTGGCGTCTACCTCGGCCTACGCTGTTCACGAAGACCTCAAACCTGTGGCCCTGTTTTGCATAGAGGCGGGTGGCTACATTGAGAGCTGAGAGCATAGTTTTGGGGATGTTTTCGGCGAAGAGCGAATACAAAACATGTTTTGCTGACCCCTATAAAAAGGAAACAAAAGTTAACTTCTGGCCCTAATCCTGAATTTAAAAAAAAAAGCTGAAGGCCTACCTCTCCCTGAGAGTCACCAGGCGGCACTATTTATGCCTGCAATATTTTCTACAGGCGTGTATGCCGTGTTGTGCAACCTTATGACACACTTTTCTATGGAAGGACGTCATATTTGTTGATGTTTGATACCCATTATTAGTATCGGTCTATTAGCATGGATTCTGGCGAATGTGCTCGGACTAATATTGAGTTTCGCACTAATGATTCTTGGTATCGACGGTCGATACACGGACCATATCGAGATAGTACCTGTATTTCTTCAGTGTATCTAGACGCCTTCGCTTTTAGTTCATTTGCCACATAATTCAAGAAAAGGCATACGTTTTATTAATGTGTGAGGCTGCTCTAAATGCACGATGGGAGCGGCACATCGACAGTGGTTACAAGTCAAAGAGTTGATAGTATAAAAAAAAACAATTCTGAGTGGGTGTGTGTGTGTGCACTTGAATCACAGTAGTAATATTGTCCTTTGATAAAGCAATCGCTGCCTTATTCATGTTTACATTTTATTTCCATGATTTGAAATAAGTAACAATCAGCATAGCAACAATCAGTAGGACGAGTTGGGCAAAGTTAATGTCTGCATTTACAGCCATCAATTAATGTTTACCGTCCAAAGCTACATCAACTTCGGAATTGTTTTAACTAGTCCATGCATCATCCATTGCTTTATCAGCCTATAGCATAGTGAACTTGATCCACTTTCGTCCAGTTTACAGCAGATGGTACCCTGCACACATATTTAACCACAGATATGGCTTATCCAACGGGGGGGGCAATGAATGTTTTCTTTTGGATTTTTGTTTGTTTGTTTGTTTGTTTTTTACAAAGAATACTTCATAGGTGACTAGGAAGAAAATAATTCCGTATATATATTGTGAAATGAAAGAGCCAAAACCCTCAGATAACAACACCAGCATATAAAAACAAGGATGTCGAGACCCTGGGTACTTCAATTTCAGTGATTTTTTTCTCCCTTACATCATGTTGCACGAGCGAGAAGCTGCATTGGTTTTTGAAATTGCCTCCACCCACCACCAAAAGCTAGATACGCCGTGTCTTTAAGTGTAACTTCAAATACAGTCACTTGTTGGAAATATTTTAGGCTTCGAGATATTAAGTAACATTATGGACCATAATTGTCTGTAATTGATCCAGCGTCTACTGCTTTGTAGGTACACGTTCACATGTGCGTTTTGCGGAAATGTGAGAATGTTTAAATGGTACATACATATTGGTTGTTATTTGCCACCTGTTTTCACAAAAATGGGATAAGAAGTTTCTTCTATTTTTTTCTCCGTTAGAAGCGGCGAAAAGGGGCTGCGGCACGGTGCTCTGTCCTCGTTCGGGAACTGAATATGTGTTCAATGGGAAATCGGAACCATTGCGTAAAATAAAAGAAATAACAATAAATAAAAAGGACACCACCAGAACGAAGTTTAAGTACAGGTGGAGTCAGCCAAATATATAAAAATCATTATTCATCACAAATGACCATTCACTCTTTCTTGGTCCAAGTCAACATAAGCCATAGACCCCAGATATGTATACTAAAATGACGCGAGTATGACAACATTGAGTTCTAAATTACAATTGTTTTTACGTCTAAAGTAACATATCTTTCAGCTGTGTCTCATAAACTCAAACGTAGTTTTAGTGTTTGTACTGTGGGACAGACATATTCTGGGGAAGCGTTCGTTGCCCGATCTTTATACTGCCATGGTTACCTGGAGGTCAAAGTTGGGCGAGTCGTAAATGTCCCGTATTTACATATTAAACCGTTATCCTCTATCTTCTGAACGGTTCATGGTATTAACCTGCAATCTGGTGCAATGCATTAATGTTGATACTTAAATGTGAGTTTTGCACACTTCAGTTTAAGGTGGAGACACTTCAGTGTTGGTGTATAAAATATCAAATTAGAAAAGAACTGAATAAGACGCAGACTTGTATCAAATCACGAGATTTTGAGTCCGAGTCCATACAAGTCTAATAAGAAGCCGTGTTCATATTTTAGTTGACCTAATATACTGTCTGGTTGACCTAATCGGGTTGAACATTTTGAATTGGAAACACAAAATTGGACGTGCAATAACTTAATATGCATTTAACTCAAGAACAAGCATTTTTGATATCAAACCAAATTACCTACATATGTTGGGGGTTGGAAGTGTGTCAAAAATAATACCATTAGCAACGATGAAAGGGTGCCTTTTGCAAACTATCAAAGGAAAATTTACTTTTTTATTCACTGGCGACATCATTCTCTTTGTGGATGAAGCCGGTGTTCCTCAAAATTGCATAGACAGAGTGGCCAGAGGAAACTTACAGACATTTGACGAAAAAGTCAGTTTAATGGTTGGACGAAAAAAAAAAACCAAAACGCAAACGGGATCAGATCTCAACGTAAAACCCAATCTACGGACCGACGGAGTCATAAGAGATGATCAGCTGTTTCCCATTTACTTAGGTCTAACCTCATGGGCTTAAATCCGGGGGCATAGGGGTATCCATTTATTGGCAACCAGGGCAAACAATAACACCTTCGCCATCTCAGCGTAGCCTCTAAAAGCTGTCTCAATGTATTCTTTTTCTTGTATGTCCTTCCCTTGAAATCTTCTTTTTAACCTGTAGTACTTTTCCCGCCGCTTGGCCCACTTTTTGAACTGATGGGAGCCAACATAATCCCAAATGAGTCGGTTGAGTTCTTCAAGAAAGTCATCCACCAGTCTCTTGAAGGAGGAGACATGATACAACAGTGTGGGGGCAAGGGTCACAACAAGGTTAGCAGTATAAAAAGTGCATGTAAATATGAAATAAATCAATTAATAACAGGACGTTATTCCAGCCGCGTCAGCACCCTTGACAATACGTTCATTTCTTTTAAGAATTGAACAACTGGCCTCTGCATAGACATATTGCACCGTGCCTTTGAGGCAACGGAAGACTCGTTTCCAATGCTACATTAGCACATTTGTCAGTGAGTTGCCTATAACTTGTTGCAACAGAGTCCCCAGTCTAAATTCCTCAATGACCATTAACACAGTGGTGTATTTTGCAGACAAATTTAAAGAACAAGTTACTCGACCTGTTGCCGATTTGTTTGTTTTTATAGGAATTGGAAGCGCCCTAATGTTGTTCACAGTATTACCACCTGAGGGGGTAACACATTTGGACAAAATTGAACTTTCTGCAGTTTAAAATCAGCAACCCAAGAAAGTTGTTCGCACTTTTTAAAAAGGAAATGTGTCCAGAGTAAGGCGAAATGTTCCCCTGGGTGCATCGGTGCCCTTGGTTTATTTTAAAAAGGCTCTCGAATTGGAAGTTTAAGTATAAATGTGGAATGTAAAATTTATATTTGCAAAGCAAATTATAACATTGGTTTTGTTTAACATGCAGTACACCGCCATGATTGAAGAAATCTACAAATACACCGACCTTCCGGACACTCTTCCACCTCCTGAGCAGACTGGTAAGCCGAAGAGACTCACCTACAAGGAGTTTCTGGGCGGGGTAAGCCATCATTTAGAGACTAGCTTTTTAGGTCCTTTAGCAAGTAATGGTTCCAAAGAACCATTCAGAAAAGAAACAAAAACATATCTGAGCACTGAACGGGAGGAGGATCGAATGTTATGATTGTGAATTATGATTTCACCAGTTGATATATCTCTAATGGAGGTTGGTGAGGCTCCAAAGCGACTCATGATTAAGTCAAAAGGAATCTAGTGTACCTTGAAATCTCAACTCTAGTATTTCCAAAAATTGAAACGAGGGAGTATAGCCTCTAAACTGAGTTAGCCACTCCATATGAAGGCTCAAGGGAAAACTCAATATTGTTGTGTATATTCTTATGAACCTTTCACTCAAACTCCTCTTGCCCCAAGTTCTAACTATTGTTATCTTGACCATTCAAAATTCAAAGAGAAAATAACACTCTTTGGTCTTTTAAAATATCATACAAAATGTGCATAATTGTAGGTTACTTGGTAAAATCACAAGCGACTGCCGAATAACCCTTGAGCATCTTGCTTGACAGAACATACTTAACAGACTTATTCAATCTATACAATATTTCCACATAGAGGGCGGCTCTTTTGAGAAAACAGAAATTTCGTTCACTTTTTTGACAATGGTGGACCGAATGTCGCTTAATACCATATCTGTTATTAGGTGCCACTTTTAGTGGTTTGTACTAATGCTTCAGGAGTCTGAATAAACGAGTAATACTGAGCAGGTATGAGGTATAAATAAAAAAGAGAATGAATTCGTTCGAAATTACATTTTCTTAATGACGAGGGGTGTTCTTAATGCAAACATAAATGTTGTGGTCTCCCTTCAACCCGGAGCACAATGGTACGGTCCAAACTATTTCCTTTTCCGAGCTGCACAACGAGATGATTTTCATAAACAAAAACGAAGATTTCAAGAAGTTAACTCTTCCGTGTTTCAGAGATAATTTCTTCTGTGTCCATAATTAGAGTCAACTGAGAATGGATTTTAGACCTCCACGGACGTGTGAACTGACGCAAAAGTGTGGTCCTGAAGCATAATCGCACATGCACGTGCATGTACTCATTGAGCGTAATCGAAACCTTGCTCTCCTGGGACTCACGAGCAGTATTCTGGGGTTGTTGACTACGAACGCCGATGTGCAAATGGAGTGCAGCACCTAAGCTAACATTCAAGATAGCACTCACCATTTTTAATAAATGCAAAGATGACATGATATTCACTATCAAACCCCAAAATAATCTAATCAAAATCGTCAATGTGAATTATTTCCTTTAGCTATAAATATGTAGGCTTTATATATAGGTTATATTTTCCTTATTGTGAGTGCTTTCTGTTTTATGCAGCAAAATTAGTATTTAAATTGCGGTATGTGCGTACGTCCCTCATCTTTATCGTTGACTTTCTCCATCCATTCCGAAGTAAACGGAGCCCTCCATTTGGAAACCCGTTCCCACGTTCATCCAACACGAGAACTGGGTTTCGAATACGTCCATATTGTCACGGACGCGAAGCGTCTGCAGTAGCTTCACTGGTCGTTGATTTTTTAAAAATATTTTTCTTTGGATGAATTCAAATTTGAGCATATTCGAAGAGGCATATTTCTTGAAGGTAAATGTACTGCTTGCTCTTGGCCGTTGAAGACTGCTCTTTTGACACCTGTCATGCTTGTTCATCTGCAGATGAGCTCCCTTGTGTATGTTGCTCACTCATTCAGAAAACCCTGATTTTGTTCAAGATAAAGTATAAGATTGGCCTATTCAGTTAGACCGTATAAAATGCCGCTGTCTTTTTCTCGCTTTTTCTCAAAGCATTTAACTCAAGTTTCAAACAAGGCAGTGGATTGAAAGCTGCAGTATTTTCATACACTTAATCAGCCAATCTTGTTAAAAAGAGCTACGAAAACCAAAGCTCTACCCTACCCTTTAAGAGAAAAGAATGGGGTATAGCCCAAGGACGTCTGCCTGTTTTCCAACAGAGTGTTCTTGCGTTTGCTGCAAATAACGAAGCAACTTCCACGATCCTGACATGCACCGCCTATCAGCTTGCTCTGAGCCCCGAAGTCCAGGACAAACTGATTGAAGAGATCGACAGGATTGCGCCTACCCCCGCCGACATTAAGTACGACACGATGAACAAAATGAAGTATATGGAGACGGTGATATACGAGTGTTTTCGTCTGTATCCCCCAGTGGTGTCGTAAGTTCCATTCTAATCATCAGAATGAATGTTGATACGGTATTTATAGTGTAATGACGCTAGATTGACTTACAGGCCAATTTTAAATTGCCTGTTAATGCTTCCAGATATACCCCCCTCAGATTCTACTTCAGAATAGACGTTTCCTTACCTTCTTTACAAAAGAGTCGTATTTTCATTTAATATTTGGTATAAATGTTTAATATTTGGTATTTTCATGTTGTATGAGATTTGAGTTCTTCGTTTGTCTTCATACCGACAGCTATCCATGGCTCAAGAGCCACTTACAGCAAAAAAATACATTACGCCTTTGACATACAAAGAGCAGACACTGCTGCATGACATTAATATTATATACTACAAATGTCACTAGTTTCTAACAGCAACTTGACCGTACACAGTACACCACTCTCCCTGATTCCGTGATCGACGCCAGACATGTCTGTAACGCGGTCACAATAGTTTGTATCTGTGACCTAATCTCACAGAACTGACCGCGAATGCTTGGAGACCGTGACGTATGGCAAGTACACTCTGCCGAAGGGACTGGTGATCCACATCCCGGCTTATTCAGTGCAACATGACGAAGACGTTTGGCCAGATCCAGAGAAATTTCATCCAGAGAGGTAAAACTCGGGTATTCGAGACGAGCAACGAAGAAGGAGTAACCGTATTATTTATAGATGAATGATACAATCCCATAACGTGATGAACCTTTTATACTCACATTGCCAAGTCATGCTCAGACAGGTTTCCTGACACCATAACTATCTGTCAAATCTGCTGACGGTGTATGGCAAATGTTCACCACGAGCATGGAAAGGGTTGAGATGGACGCATGTGTAACCGGAAAAATGTTTGAAATCAATGTCATATCCCAGGTTCAGCCCCGAAAACAAAGCTTCCATCGAACCGGTGGCATGGCTTCCCTTCGGCGGTGGTCCGCGGACCTGTGTCGCCGTCAAATTCATCACACTCCTGATAAAGGTCTTCTTGACCCGAGTCCTGCAGAAGTACCGTTTCGAAACCTGCCCCGAAACACCGGTGAGTTAAATTATTTGCCTGAATGCAATTATTAGCCTGGCGTGCGATACGAGCAGTTGTTGGTGGTGGCTAGTCCTCCAACTCCACAGGTGTTCAAGTTGCAAACAGGCACCACTGAGTAAAATTATCGTGACATTTGCACTCCTTCCGTATTTTCGTCCTCGATACACAGGTTGCATTCTCTTAAAGACGATGAACCATTTACTTTTTTTCTGAAAGGAGTTAAGTCCTCAAAGATACAGTAACGAACAGTTGTCACAATTTTCAGTGTTGCACTTCTCCAACCACCACATGAAGTGGAACAGAGCCTCTCCCAGAGTATGGAATTGTTTCTCTCTTTCTCAATCTATATTACTGCTGAAAGAGGAAATGGGCCGGGAGAGGCTCCCATTGCCTGATACGTATAGGTGGCGAGGGTTGGTGGGAGACGGTGACATGGCATCTCAGTACACTCCAACCTGGGCTGTGCTTAGCATTCCAAGCTTTAAAGAGCCGATTATTTCTGGACAAAGAGACGAAACAAGGCCACGTTCTAAAGGGCCCACTCCAAAAATACAGTTCCGGTCCTAGGCCAACATTCCAACTAAACCAAGTCGCCCCACCCGTAACAAACAAACCTCTTTTTTTCAAACAGATCCCTCTGAAGATGAAGAAGATGACTATGCTGGAACCGCAAGACGTCTACGTACGTGTGGTGCCAAAAGAACACCGTTAAACTCTGCCATCAAACAGTGACTACTTTTCGTATTGAAAAATCTGGAGCAAATTTCGTGGATCTGATCAGCTCAAATTTGTTCAGCTTATAAATACCAGATGCCCCACCTGCCAAAATTTAATTCGATGCATATTGCTTCTGTTTATTTTCTAGCTTTCCCCATAGTGAATGTAAGTTTGTATAATCTTTTGTTTCATTTACTCAAATTAACACAAGAGAAACGTTATCCAAGTTACCCTGATATACGATAAGGTTATTAAAAGAGTTTAAAATTCTTACGACCGTAGACAAGATAATAAAAGAATAGTTTCGGCCTCAACTTTAAATCAAATGATTAAACCTCAACAATTACCTTTTAAAAGTTACATTGAAAAAATCCAACAACCTATACAAGACGTTGTTAAATTCTGGAAACGCAGAAAAACACAGACGAATATCGGTGCACCATTTGGCATTATAGAATTAGACTCCTGTTCGCCTCATTTTCAAAATACATTGAGTACCTGCAGCAATTTTACAGAGACACACTAGTATGCACTTGTACTATTTAATAAAATAAGACTTGTGTTGTGCTGGATAACAAATGTAGATTTGTGAACCGTTGCTCTCAGAAATTAAACACGCTACCACTGAGTACAACTTTTCAAAATACACTTTCCAAAGTGGCTTTCTAAATAATCACATTTTATCTGAAGACATTGCTGGTTTTCTCTTTCTGGCCAAGTTTTCATTCGAAAATACGTTTCAGAATTATTTTAAAGGAGCTTAGGTTTTTCAAAAAACCTTAACCACTGATTTTATCTTCTCAGATTCAATCTTATCTCTAAAACGATTGTTCTTATATTCCGAAATTTAAGATAAATCTTATTTCTGTTTCATCAAAAAGGTTAAGATCAGTATCACTCTGACCTTTTCTCTGAATCATTCTTAACTTAATTATTGATCCAAATCAAATGTAGAAAAACATAAATGATCTCAAAGTTTGGCGTAAAACAGTATCTTTCAAGTGTGCATGTACGACCAATTTTGTGCTTTAGATTTATGCCTACACTAGAATATCTCAAACTGCATTATTTTTCATAATTACAAAAAATGAGATATTACAGTGAAATACAAGTTCCTACCTTTTTACTCGTGCACATTTCAATCCTTTTTGTTTGGTTTAATATGTATCCTCTTACTCTTGAGGTTATTGCATCGTTCATGTGAAGTCTGATCTCCAAGTTAGTCATCTCTCTCTCTCTCTCTCTCATATATTTGTATAACAGGAAACCGTAGTTATTCATTAACTCATTTAAAGCAGATGGCTATAGTATAAAGAAAAGGGTATCTCCTTCAACATTTGAGAAAACAATTGAATAAATGGGAAAACGATTGCACCACTCGGGATTCACGATCGTTCATGGTGTTCCTCTAAGGGGATGTTGCTGAAGGTAGCACAGACGCTGCAGTGCCAGTGCTGTCGAGAATTAATATCGTATATTACAGTTGATTTATTAGTATTTGAAATAAAGGTGAGAAATAAAAATTTAGGACTGTTCCAATATTGAGATGAAAAAAAATTACACAATTGTGGATACCATTAAAGGATTTAACAATAATATGGATTGATAGACCAGATTGAAGCTTATGCTGTGATAATTGCATACACACAAGTTAAGTTGTAGGATATAGCAGAGTCGGTGGGAAAGATAAAAGGATAATTACAGGGATAGGCAACCTACTCTCTCTACAGATCTCAGCTGTGTAAAGACCACACAGTGAAACAATTCAAAAATGCGTAATAATCACTGAGTCACACAAAAAAATTCTAACATGAAACAGTCATTACACTTCGTGCATGTGTGCAAGTCAAATGGCCAAACTTTCCAGAAAGCTTTCATGTAGACTATTTCCCAAGTTTAGTTGGCAATCTGGTTTATTGCAAGAAGAAATTCAAGAAAAAACCCTCCCGGTATGTAGTTGCCGTCCCTCCCTTGAATATATGTGAGCCAACTGAATACTCCTGAACCCCTTAGGATGTATGATGATTGCTGATTTGAAACCCTGTTCTGAATTCTGTTAACTTGTATACACCGAGGCGCCAGCGCTAAGCGTGGCCTTTTTATGAAGCGCGCCCTCACGAGACGGCCGAGAAATCGCGGCACTGCTGCAACATGGCCGCCCCCAAATTTCACCAAGAAATTTGCTAACTGTTAAGGCAATGGCAAAAACGTAACACTTCAGTTGAAACGATAAAAAGTTGAAGAACGCAGTTGCGATGAGAACACAGTTATTTTTTTATTCTTACTCAAGCAAGCAGTTCCTCGTGCCACAAAGTCTAAAGGGAATGAGAGTTTGGGTTAGTAACAGATTGGCCAAACCAGGAGTATCACCCTCATCATACTTTGCCAGTCGCACCAGCCGGGCCACTGGGCGTTTGTACTCTCGGTCGTTGACTCGAACACTGACTACCCTCACTCTCTGGTCATCACCAGGAAACACTTGTGTAATCGTCCCCACTGGCCACTGAGACCTTGGGAGCTGGGGATCTGCTATCATCACAACATCTCCCTCCGACAGGTTTTCCTCTTCCCTTTGCCATTTCTGGCGGGTTTGCACGTTAGGAAGATAGGACCTAACAAAGTGACGCCAAAACTGATCGGCTAGTACTTGACTGTGCCGCCAATTCCTGCGACCCTTCAGCTCTCTCTCGTCATAGACCACCATCGGAAGTACTGGATCCCGTCGCCCCATAAGGAGCATGTTTGGAGTTACTGGATCCACGTCAGCAATCTCAGAGGAGGCGTATCCCAGAGGTTTTGAATTGAGGATACCCTCAACCTCCACTAGCACTGTGCGAAGAACTGCGTCAGTTACGGTCCTATATCCAAGTACTGCCTTTTTGGCTGATCTGACTTCCCACTCCCAAGTACCCCCAAAATGGGGCGCATCGGGGGGGGGGGTTAAATTTGAATTTGGCCTTGTACTTGGCAAGACGCTGCACAATATCCAGCTCCATTGCCTTTAAAGTCTGCGCGATTTCTGTATTGGCCCCCTAGAAATTTGTTCCACAGTCACTAAGTAGTTCAAAGGGAACTCCTTGGCGAGAGGCAAAGCGCCTGTAGGCCATCAAGACGTTATCGGCATCCAGACTTTCTAGAATATCGAGGTGCACTGCTCGGGTGGTCATGCATTTGAAGAGTAGCCCCCATCGTTTTTCCTGTCGCCGCCCAATTTTAACTGTCAGGGGCCCAAAACAGTCTACTCCTGTAGAGTAGAAGGGTGGCTTTTCCAGCCGCAGCTTGCATTCTGGAAGATCTCCCATGCGGGGCACCCTGGGCGTCCCTCGCCAGCGACGGCATTCTGGGCAAGCATGCAAGATTCCCTTTACCATCCTGCGCCCCCGGAAGATCCAAAACGGGCGCCAAAAATGGGCGAACACTTGATCAGTACCAGCCTTATGACTAAAATAGGCATCAGCATCCTTTATCAGGAGTTTTGTGACAGGATGGTGTGGGTCAAGTCTGTCTGTTGGCGAAGCCTTCCTTAGGCGACCTCCAACTCTAATCAGCTTGTTAACCGGGTCAAGCTCCGGTGCCAACTCAAGAAGACGACTATTTCGAGACAGCTCCCTGTTGGACGAAAGAGCACCGACTTCCTCCTTGAAGGTCTCGCTCTGTGCCTTTCGAAGCAACAAAATCTCCACCTCATGGGTTTGTTCTGGAGTTAGAATACCATCCAGCAACTGATCATCTGGGTACAGCTGCCTTCCAACTGCACTGATCAATTCTGTCCAACTTGAAAAGGCTGTAAAGTCAACATCAACCTCTGAGGTAGGCACTGTGAGACCACAGAAGACACTCTTGATTTCATTTTGTTCAACTATAGAGTTGACACGAGTTTGTGCCAAGATACATGCGCTGTCCTTCTGCCACTCCTCTTGAGGGTCATGAAGCCACCCTGGGCCATCAGTCCATCTGGAGCCTTTCCCTAATTTGGAAACTGGTAAGCCGCGGGTGACATCGTCAGCAGGGTTATCCTCACTTCGAACATAGCGCCATTCCATACCCTCAGACAATGTTTGTATCTCGGTTACACGAGTTCCAACGAAAACCTTGAACCTGCATGACTCTGACTGAACCCAACTTAGTACAGTGGTGGAGTCGCTCCACATCAGAGTATACTCAACATCAATTGTAAAAGCCTCTAGGACGACTTGCACGAGTTGGGCACCAAGGAGAGCCGCCATTAGCTCAAGACGTGGCATAGATAGCAGACGCTTTGGTGCTACCCGACATTTGGCTAACACAAAGCTTGTGTGGATCTCCCCAACGCTGTCAGCGGTACGTAAGTAGGCAACTGCCCCATACAACTTCTCTGAAGCATCACAAAAGACATGTACGGACCTCTTCGCCGTGGCTGTCTCAACAGACGGTGGTGTATAACACCGTGACAACCGTATCTGTGGGATATACTCCAACTCCGTGCACCACTCTTCCCATCTCTGAGTTAAACCAGGATCAGTTACCCTCTGGTCCCAATCCAGCTTTTCTAACCACAAATCACGAACAAGCAACTTGGCTCTAGCTGTGAAGGGTGCAATGTCCCCCAACGGTTCAAATTGACTTGCAAGGGCCCTGAGGGCTATGCGCTTAGTCAGCACATTGTGTTCTGGAACCTTGGCTGGGTGATACAGCTCATCACTCTTCCAGTCCCAGCATAGCCCAAGAGCTGGCTCTGGATCGCCCCCCTGTGGGTCCAGTGACAACGATTGTACCTGACGAGTTGAACAAGCCTCATTGGGAAGACTCTCAAGTATTGTGGGGTGACTACTGGCATACTTCACCATCTCATATCCTACTTCTTCTAAGCATTTGCGTGTGCTCTGGACAAGTTGGGTAGCCTCTTCTTAAGTTTTTCGACTTGTCAGCTGGTTGTCTACGTAGGTCTCTTTCTCTATTGTAGACTGGACTCGTGGATACTGGTCTACCCGGTCCCCAGCAGCTTTCTGAAGGGCAAATGTTGCACAGCACGGACTACATGCAGCCCCGAATGGAAGCACCAACCACTCTATGACAACCCATTTGTCAAGATGTTCATCTTTCCAAAGGAACCGAAACATTCGTCGCTCTTCCGGTCGGAGTCTAACTTAATGAAACATGGCGGATATATCGCCTGAAACCGCCACTCGACCCTGACGAAATCGTAAGAGAACATTCAACAGAGATGGACCCAAGGTGGTGCCGGCAACTAGTTCATGATTGAGGCTTTGGGCTCCAAACTCAAATGAACAATTGAAAACGAGACGGTTTTTCCCACTGCTGTGTACAACATGACATGGAATATACCAACCTCGTAGTTGGTCTGCCAACAAGTCATCAAGCGGTCCAAGAACCCTGACCTGTTTCTGGTCTTGGAGTTTCCGGATGTACGTGCGACAATAATCTTGCAACTCTGAGTTTCCCTCAATCTTCCTCTGGTTTGAGCGGGCCAATGCCAATACTGCTTGTGGGAGACTGGAAGGTGTCTTGTGGTTAGGCTTCCACAAGAGTGGAGTTTCGAGCCACTTCACCCCATCAACTTCAACTTCCCTGGTGTTCTCTTCCAGCATGTTCATGGCAAGCTTGTCAATCCTCGAGCGGGTTACCTGCTTTTCATTTACCTGTGGTAATTTATCAACTGTCATAAATTGCTCCATCAATTGGCTGCTGGTCCGGTTGCTGTGTAGCGCATGATGTGAACAGAATGCCTCGGCCCTCCAAAGTTTTACCAGGGATATGGAGACCTTGGTGACCAAGGACAGTCCAGCCAAACAAGGTGTTTACTGCCACGGGGGAACTACACTTTGGACCACAGCGCACTTCAGATGAAAGCGTGAGTTTGACATGGTCCCCACCAATAAGCACAGACGGTTGAACCCTGTGGGCCGAAAACAATGCTAGCCCTCGTCAGAGAGGCTACTTGTTTTGTAGATCCTCTGCAGACACACTGTAATCAACTGGCTGAACATCTGGGGCGCTGAAAGCACACTGTATACCGACCTTTCACTGTTTCCACGAGCAGAGACTTTGAAGTCAACACATTTTCCCTTCCAGCTGGTGTAACCCATCACAGTGCTGATGCAAAGTTGTTTTTCATGGCCAGGAATATTCAACTTGTCAACAACAGACTGCAGGACCATTGTCCTCTCCGCACATTCATCCAACACGCCAAAGGTGTCAATGCGACCTGAAGGCCCATGCACTGTAAGTGGCACAACTTTGATCAAAACATCACGCATGAAGTCCACTCTAGGGCTAGGTCTTACCCCTGAACACATTACTGCTTCCTTATCTATGGGTTCAGAAAGTTCGTGGAGGCTGGTGCAGTGGTCACCTTCGCATTTTTTACACTTTTTAGGATACACACATTCCTTCTCATGTTTCTTCGCACATTTTTACATCGTTGGTTTGTCTTCAACCACTGCAACTTCTGTTCTCATGTCAGGCCCTGAAATTTTTGACAAGTTTCGAGGTAGTGGCCCAATTCTCTGACTTTGCAATACAAACAGCTAATCCTCTCTGGAGTCATTGCAGATGCATTGCTTTCACTAGGGG